AATGTATAACACTTTTGTTTATGGGTGCTAACTCGATAATGATTTAATTTAATTAATTTAAATTAATAAAATAAAAAGATAAGGCATTGTTTACTAGGGGAACCGGTAAAAGCTTTATTTATATGCAATGAAACAATTACAAAACAAATGATAACCAAGTGGTTTGTTTATTATATTTATTATAATTATTAGCGTCCCAAATAAATATGAAAATATAGATCAAGGGTAGAAAATTAAAAATGTCCTTAACCTTGTAGTAGTGGCGCCTTATATTTAACATTGGTGGTGGCGCCCGGCCTGTCAGGCCCGTAAATTTAAAAAAATCATATTTATGCTAGTATTTTTTCTTTGTGAATTTTTTACTTTTAATTTATTACTTAATCCTATTGTGACCAAGGTCACTGATTTTTTTTTAAAAAAAAACCTCATATGTTTGAAATATGGGGTTAATTTTATGGGGACAGGATTATAAGGTGACATAATATTATTTCTCAAAAAACTAAATAAAAAATGTATTCTACCAAAAAAACAACAAATGGTTTATAAGCTTGAATAACAAAATATCGTATTAAACGTGGTTTTGATTTTTTTCCACACAATTATGACACATAATTTTGGCATGGGTCATACATAGAAATTTTTGGCTATGAAGTGTGTGGTCCTTCTGTCTATGCGACATTCTGCACACCTTTTTCTGGTCCCAGGGGGAATTAGTTGAGGTTCAACATTATCGGCAGCTACTTCTTGTCGCCTTTGACGTACCTCAGTTGGTAAATTTTGTTCCATAGAACGGCGTTTCAAATGCTTCTACTAGGACATAGCGCCGTTCTTCAAGAGCTTTCGCATTAATAATTTGAATTATTAGCAGTGTGTATTACTTGGGCATTTATTTCAGCCACATTCATTAGCCCATAAAATATGACCATATTGGATAGAATAAAGTATAAAAATATGCTAAATAATTAATATACCACAAAATAGTCGTATAACATAAATGGTGGCGCCCGGCCTTTCAGGCCGTTTTAGGTTATAACTTTTTAAGTTAGAACTGTAAGTAAATAAACATTGCACTACACCTTTCTACGCAAAAAGTTAGGAAGGTACTGAAAAATTCAGAGTTGTCTCTTAATTATTTTCATAATGATCCGCTAAATAAGATCGCTTGGGCCTGTTAGGCCGTGCGCCACCAGTAGAAGGTTAAAATTTAAAACGCATAGCTCAGATAATAAAAAAACTAAAATGTAAAACTATGTTAATAAAATTAAACACATTTAAAATGTACATTCTAAAGTAAGTAATTGATTATTTATTTATTGTATGCAATCTCATTGAGGCAATTTTTATTGGAAATGTCCGCATAAACCATTTAAACCCCGATTTAACTTAATCAAAACAGATTATTGCAATAAATAGCCCTTGGTAATGTCAGTGAACTGCGTAAGTTAATAGATTCTATGAGGCGCCGTTTGTGCCATTATTATGATTTACAAAATAATAATAATTTGTAAAAATATAAATGTTTTGTTAAAAATATAAAAAATTTGTTTGAAATATATATGTCTGACGACGTTTCGGTACAATCTCATGTACTTAAAAGTAATTACATGAGAGGTGGAAAAAAGAAATGATTTTGCATGAAGGCAGCATTAAAGAAAAAGTTTTGTTATTTATAAGGAATATTAATGATAGTATACAAATGCATTATTTTAGAATTCAAAGGTAATTGTTTTTATAATGCAGCCTTGCCTTGCATTCATATAACCCGTAGGTTTTAATTGCGCTTATAAGTAGTTAATTTTTAATTTTAAAGTACAAACATTATAAAAATAATTTATTAATGTATTTTACATGATCAAACGCAATACATTTTAATGAAGCTAAGGCTGCGTACACACTTAAAGGATAAAAAAGCGTTCGCTAAGTGTACGCAAGCTTTTAGCGTTTTTGCAGTACGCTATAATAGTTATTTAAGTCATTAGGTTAAGAAGTAAGGCTTTTTGTGCTAAGCTTAAGGTTTGAACAATTGAGCGAAGCACAAAAAGGCACTTCTTGGCCGAATGGCATACAACATTTTATCTTCAAAGCACTTTATATTTACATTTAATTTCACTGAAAACTTGAAGCAAATTAAAACTTAAAGATAATTTAAATCGTAGAAAAAGAATCGTGCGTTTTCTTGGTTGCCTAACCTCACTTTTTGTTTTATTATTCATATTTAATTTTACAATAATTTAATGAAAAATATTAAACATTAACAGTAAAACAAACAAATTAGTGCTTATTATAAATAAATTAAACCAGTTTAGTACGTTAATTTCTTAAAAAAGGATTAATTTGTCAAAACAATACCCCTAGCGAGAAAAAATCGAACTAATTACTTGCCTCATAAACATTTTTATCCGCCTAGGCCATAACAAGGTATTTCTTTATCGAATGTTGACAACAATAAAGTGGAGATAAAAGAAATTATTCCAAAAAGCTGGCGAACAATATACGTTCGGTAAATGTAGACATCGCAGCGAATATTGAAGCACATCTGCGCATATTCTACCGTATGCCAACGCTAAGTGTGTACGCAGCTTAAGAATGAAAACTACGTCAATAATACGTTTAAGAATTACACATAATTGAACAATTAATAATCACGTATCAAAACTAAAAATCTTCAAAACAAATAATTCTTATCTTATATTCACAAAAAGAAACCTGTTTATTTAATTCTGTTTGTACCTCTATTACCAGGTAAAATTTATGGTGGATATTTTTTATTAATTAATTTATTTATTAATTAATTTATTAACATTTAAACATAATTGAGCAGATAATAATAACAAAAACAATAATTAATAAACAAACAGAATTATAAATAATGTTTGTTTTTTGAAATGTCTTTAATATACATATATAAAGTATAAAGTATTTATTATGGTATATATGTTATGGCTAATGTGCAAACTTGGATAGTTTATAAACTAGCTGGATAGTTTATAAACTAGCCAAACTGTTAGCTATTTTAATTGAAAACATATTTTCAACTAAATTAGCGGCTAGTTTACAAAATAACCAAGGATCTTAGTTAATACTATCCAGCTATAGCTGGACTATAGTTTATAAACTATCCAAGTTTGCACATTAGCCGTAACATATCGACCCATGCAACGAAGACTATAGTAACTCAAAAACGTGTGTTTTGATTTACTATATGGCATCAACAGATTTTTTCAAGCTCTATTTGGTGGAAGATTACAGTAACTCAGACATGAAACGATAGGCAACCAGTGAACAACTTCCCTGTATAGTAAGTGTAATAATTCACATTCCTACAGGCGAAAACTATATTAAGTTAAGTTACTCTAGTCTACAATCAAAACTGAGTTACAATAGTCTTCGTTGCATGGGTCGATATATACCATACTTTTTTTAAGAAAAATAATAGTATTTCTGTTTTGTGTTTTTAAACAACAATATAAGCGGTTTTTAATGCCCTAATTTATAAACTATTAAGATTTAAAAAATATACTTAATTTAAATGTTACATGTTTCAATCCAAATATTAAATTTTCTTGAAGGAAATCTTAGTTGGTTTCTTGGTAAAATTGTTAATATTTTTTTATATCAAGAATAAGATATTCTTATTTTTTTATTTGTTTAATTTTTTTATATTAAGAATTGGACATTCTTAAAAAATTTTATTCGTTTTAATAAACAGTATTTTCTTTTGCCAAGAATACATATTTTTGAAATCGTGTAGGAGTGGAGATGCCGACACGTTCCTCTGTATTTCATTAAAAAATTATGAAAAAAATTGAAGGTAAGTAAGTTGTTATTGATATACCACCCTTTTTTAAATTTAGCGTCGCATTTACGTGTAGGTAGGTAGGTTTTGTTTAAAGATTTACTTATATGCATTAAGGATGCCTTAAAATTATTTTATTCATTAATAAATAGGCTTTGCAGTGATAACCAAAATATCTTATGTGTTTAACACTCTGATTTGTATGGCTCTATAATTTTAAGTTAATAAACTTAATTTATTTTATGACATTTAAAAAGATTTTGTTTTAGAATTTTGTTACACACTAATTTTGATTCATTGGCAATAGCCCTAAATTATTTTATAAAATTGGTAGGTAATTGCTTTTCTACTATGCCTAAAATATTACAAATTATTTAAAATGAAAAATATGTCGATAATAATGATTAAGTTCCCTACGTTAATTTATAATAATGTATACATTTTAGATTTTTCTTGTATTAAAAACAAAATAAATGGGTTTGTTCAACGTTTGTTTTTTATTTTCTAACCTAAATTTTTTGCTTACTGCACCACCTAGATCCCGTATCATTATTTAAAATTTTATCGATTTTAAATACAAAATGATGACAAACATTGCTAAAGTAGCTTAAAATTAAGATAGATACATTTTATTTTTAACGGTACTACTTGCATTGTTTTAAAATAAATATTATTTTGTAATCAATGAAATAAAATTTTAAATCTTGTTTCTATTAATTAAAAAAACTATTGGGTTATAGAAAACATCTTGATTTAAGAAAATTATTGCCTTATTTATTATCACATTTTTTGTTTTAAGAAAATTTATTCTTGAATTAAGTAAGTATCTTTTTTATTTAGGAATACCACTAATTTATTTTAAAAGAGCATATTCTTGCTTTAAAACAACCAAATATTTGGTTAAAGAAAATATTTTTTCTTGAATTAAGTGAATATTGCTGCCTTATTTCAAAAATTATATATTCTTGCCTTTAAACAATCAAAGTTTTATTTCAAGAAATTTAATTTTCTTACATTAAGAAAAGATTCTTGTAGTAAATCAACGTGAATTAAGAAAATACTTAACTATAGTTATATAGTTAAATATATTTAAAGAATATATTCTCTTCGTCATATATAAGACAAAGATTGTTTTGAATCAAATTAATTTATTTGATAGAAGAATATTTTTTTTTAGTGTACTAAGATTTAAAAAAAAAATTACCTTTAGCCCATCCAGTGATCACGTTGCCCAAATAGGCCACTTTGTAGGTAGGATCCGGCTTAGAAATCGTAGCACTGGCGTATTTCTTCAGCCTCAGTCTGTTGAGGAAAGTCTTGAAAATCATTTTCCCCCCTGTCTTTCTGCAATTTGCCCGGCATTTCGCTGTTAAGGGCCTCGATTGAGGGCACTTTCTTTTTATTGAACGCCTTGCAATAAAGAGCAGAATCAACGGTGTCTTCTGTCATTTTGGGAGCTTAGCAACAACACGACTAGCCAATTTAATTATTAATATGCGCCACAGGTCATGAAGAATGTTGAAAAGATAGCCTCTTCCGGTGTGGTTTCTTTCTGATTTACACAATAACAAATTTCGTGCACTACACTTTAAACGGAAACCAAGCTTAACTCATGACTCTTAATTTTATAAGTCAGATAGATTTCCTGGAACAGAAAAACATAAGTTAATAATAAGTGAACACTCGAGAATGAATAGATAAATAATACAATTTCATTCAATAATAATTCTTTTTAAATATAAATGTTTTTTGTTTATCTAAACGTGAGAATTTACTATTAAGGATTATAATTATATTAACAAAAGAAAATTAAAAATATAATGATATTTTTTGTTCTTTGAATTATTAAGTATAATATACTTAGTATATACAATGTGTATTATGTATATTATACATGGTATACAAATTAATATTCTTAACATGTATTTGGTAAAAAAACAAAACAAATTTTAGTTAATATGTAAATTTGAAAAAAATAAATACAATAAAAGTAGATATTATAAAAAAAATCTAAATTGTATTGCAAAAAAAATTTATGATTTATGGCGATTTTATCAGTTTTGAATGTATGCTCCCGATCCAACCTAAAAATGTTGGTATTATGCATTTTTTATATTTATTTTTCTTTAAGAAATATACACATTTTACAAAACTGCAACAAAACATATTTTTACATTATTTCAGATAAAAAGAGTCGGACAAAACTTTATTGACATTAAAAAATGTTAGTTCATCAAATTTTGACTTTTTTCTGTTATATTTTTTATTTTAAGTATTAAATTTTTTATTATATAATATTATATGTATTGTCGCGCGGCGAATGTTTTTCGTTGCGTCATCAATTTTAAATGTCAAAAACCGGTTTATCGACATATGTACTATGCTCCACACCTCAAAGTCCCACCACGTGACCATACTTTGACAGGTACATAACCTGAAAAGCCTTAAATGCCAAATTTTCAAAAGACTGCGTTCCGTACGTGGTCACGTGGTGGGACTTTGAGGTGTGGAGCATACTAATTTAGACAATTCCTTAATTAATATAATTCAATCTTATTTAATCGATAGAACAATTTTTGTCAAATTAAATAACTTTACATCTTGTTATTTTTCTCAGTCCTCGGGCGTACCCCAAGAATCAAATCTTGGTCCATTACTTTTTCTATTGTTTATTAATACATTACCGTCTATAATTAAATCAAAAAATCTATTGCATGCTGATGATGAGGTTTTGTTTCTCGAGCCGTTAGTCGAGAGACGTAAATCATCCGTGTAAATAATGCGCATTATTTCTAGTGTAATACCATGCTTTTTCTACTCCAATTTATTATAACCTTACTTTTTCCCGATTTTAAAAATCATTATAGTCGCCCTCGAATAAATAAACAAATCTGACATATGTTAACCTTACTTTTTCCCAATGTAAAACCCGATTGGTTCAAATAACAGTGAATATTGAAATCGGCCAATCACTGATGCCTAACAACGTGAATAATGAGTTCAATATTCCCGTTATTAGGGTTACCATTATTTACGAAAAAACCTAAATAATGTCAATAATATACAATATGAGTAGAAAAATAAAAAATCAAAATTGGTATTTTAGAACTAAATTGGATTGAAACAAATTGAGAAAAAGATTTTTGAATTATACTTAATTTTACCGTTTCCCTTTGTAAATAAAAATATAAAAAAACAAGTCGACCGAAAAAAACCTGTAGTCTCCAAAAAGGTGAGACACACAGAAAAAAAGGAATGGTTAATTTAACTATATTAATTTAGTTGACCCATATTTAATAAATCAACTGTGTTAAGGTTAATATAAACAAAGATTAGTTTGACGATACTAAACCAGATAGTTATTTTATTTTTTTAAATTGGTTAAATTAACCCAGAAAACTTCATTGAAACCAACCCGCTGTATGGTTCAGTTTACTAAATATGTTTATTTTTAAATTACTTCAACCTTAAGCAATCTGTATAAACGATTAAAACAATTTGCCGTGCATTCCTGGTTGCATAGTATGTATCGATCGCGGCAAAGGCGATGTGGATCACGTGATGTTCTTAAATCTCGCCTCTGTTGACTTACATGGAGAGTATATATAATAGGGTGTCCGTTATTTACCAAGTTGATTTTTTTTCTTGCGACGCCCCCTAAATTTTTAGTCTATCGTCTAAAAAAAAATTTCAGACCAAAATAAACTCTTAATATTCATAATAAACCTTGCCCCAAAGACCACACATTTCCCATTCAAATTACATGGGATTTTGACACTTTTTTCAATTAATTCTTTTTTCCCCAGGCAAGATGACTTACAGCTATGAGACATATATATTCTTATAGTAAATTAAACGCTCTACAAAAAAGGTCTCTTATAATTTTTCGATTAAATCACTCGTTAAAAAGTTATTCGGGGTGAAAGTTAAACTCCGTGTACATTTTCTGATTTTTTTACTTTTACGGCAAAGTTATTATTATTTCGATGAAAGTTATTAGTATATTTCTGAAAATAGATAATTCTGGTGGTATTAGGGTATACAATTTTTAAACCTGGAAAATAATAGACTGCATAACAGGTAGCTGGTTCTAGTTTTAATCATTTTTGAGACTTTATGTATAACACAGTCAACTAATTTTTATTGAATTTTAAGTTTTGTATACTTTTATGAAATTTTCCTTCTATACAGTAAGTGACTCAAAATTACTCTTACAAGCATTCCCGCCAACACACGGAATTTTTATTGACGCAAGCGCGCTAAAGCGCATTTAGTACCTTGACGGCGCTTTAAGTCCTTTTAGTATTGTATATTTGTTATATTGTATACAAATATCTCTGCATATTGTTGTGAATGTTGTGTCGTACATTAACAGTAGTTATTTATATAATAAAACTTATTTATTATACACAAAAAACAAAATTTAGAATTAGTGCAATTTTTAACATATAGGTAAATAAAAACTTTAAAATTAAATTTATATTGAAAATCTCATTGGAATTAAAATTTCACAAATAGTTCTAACCTATAAAAATTTAGGTTCAATGGATCTAAGACAAAATATATTTTTGATTGGAAAAACAATAAGTTCAATTACTGGCAAAAAGTTACCAACAAATAAAGAAGTTCTGCAACTACTGTACCATCACTCAAGAAATCGCAATAAATCTATTGATGACAGCTGTTCAATCGTTATACGTGAAGTGACAGGAAGTTGAAGTGAAGCAGTAATTCAAACTCAAATTAATTCACGTTGCATAACAACATTAAAAAGTCTCTACGCAGAATATAGAAATGTACAAAAACATCTTAACCAAAAAAATAAAACAAAAGAGCAAGATTTGTCAAATAAACTCGAACAATTATTTGACATTGCTGACGGTGACGTTTTTAAAATGATTGACGAGGAGACAAAACTTTTAATTGATCAAAGAACTCGACGGATTTTTCATATAAATATTGCTGAAACAAATAATAAATTATTGCATTTGTTATGCAACGCGAATTAATTTGAGTTGGAATTACTGCTTCACTCCAAATTCCTGTCACTTCACGAATAACGATTGAACAGCTGTCATCAATAGATTTATTGCGGTTTCTTGAGTGATGGTACAGTAGTTGCAGAACTTCTTTATTTGTTGGTAACTTTTTGCCAGTAATTGAACTTATTGTTTTTCCAATCAAAAATATATTTTGTCTTAGATCCATTGAACCTAAATTTTTATAGGTTAGAACTATTTGTGAAATTTTAATTCCAATGAGATTTTCAATATAAATTTAATTTTAAAGTTTTTATTTACCTATATGTTAAAAATTGCACTAATTCTAAATTTTGTTTTTTTTGTATAATAAATAAGTTTTATTATATAAATAACTACTGTTAATGTACGACACAACATTCACAACAATATGCAGAGATATTTGTATACGATATAACAAATATACAATACTAAAAGCCTTTAGTAAAAGGACTTAAAGCGCCGTCAAGGTACTAAATGCGCTTTAGCGCGCTTGCGTTAATAAGAATTCCGTGTGTTGGCGGGAATGCTTTTAAGAGTAATTTTGAGTCACTTACTGTATTGAAGGAAAATTTCATAAAAGTATACAAAACTTGAAATTCAATAAAAATTAGTGTTATAAATAAAGTCTCAAAAATGATTAAAACTAGAACCAGCTACCTGTTATGCAGTCTATTATTTTCCAGGTTTAAAAATTGTATACCCTAATACCACCAGAATTATCTATTTTTAGAAATATACTAATAACTTTCATCGAAATAATAATAACTTTGCCGTAAAAGTAAAAAAAATCAGAAAATGTACATGTACTCTGTGCACAGAGTTTAACTTTCACCTCGAATAACTTTTTAACGAGTGATTTAATCGAAAAATTATAAGAGACCTTTTTTGTAGAGCGTTCAATTTACTATGAGAATATATATGTCTCATTGCTGTAAGTAATCTTGCCTGGGAAAAAAATAATTAATTGAAAAAAGTGTCAAAATCCCATGTAATTTGAATGGGAAATGTATCGTCTTTGGGGCAAGGTTTATTATGAATATTAAGAGTTTATTTTGGTCTGAAATTTTTTTTTAGACGATGAACTAAAAATTTAGGGGGCGTCGCAAGAAAAAAAATCAACTTGGTAAATAACGGACACCCTAATATATAAGCTCAGGTAGTCCTTTGCTTTGGTGTGACACCACAAGTTGTTCAATACTAAAAAGAGCTAAAATAGGTGTAAACAGCTGTCAATACTTGGAGTATTTTAAGTTGGTGAAACGCACTAAAATCATTGGTGAAGGTTCAATTTTCTGGAATCATACCACTGGTATTATACTATAGTAATGCGTCAAGGAACTTCCTGTTTCTTGAAGAATATAAGAAAATTTAATGAATGGCTTAAAAAAATGTTTCTACTCCAAATATTTCAAGATCTTATTTTTATTGTTATGTATTATATAAATGCGCCAAACGCTATGGGTAAGTTGTACCATGCCGTTAACCTAGTTAGGGTAACAAATTATATTGAGTCAATTCAACCAAATGTATTTAGTACATTGGACTGGTAGGTAAAGGTCACTTTAATTATACAAATGTTTGTTTTAACTAAATGCGGTTGTTAAAATAACTAAATGTTTGGTTG